GGTAAAAAATACTATGCATCACAAGCCCCAAAATTTTCTCCTTTCTTACCATTTAAGAAAGATACACAGGTGTTTTTTCCTCCATCATTTGTTGCTAACTAATGAGCTCTTACCCACTGCTCATTAGGTTTCTCTATTGGTCCCAAGTTCTTCCTCTTGCGGTTTTTTCTCTTCAATTTTGGAATTCCTTACTATAGTAAGTCTTTTTTTTTTGTGGTTTTATCCACACACTAGTATGTATGACTAGTGGGACCAATATTTTGATACTATGTTTATGTGAACCAATATTTTGTTTGTTTGTTTTTTTCATAAATATTCCTTTTTTATTTTTTAGCTTCATTTTTAATATTATTTTTATTTTTTATAGTTTTAAATAATTCAATAGTTTTTGAAAAAAAGTAAAAAGTATCAATAAAAAATAATTTTATGTTATTTTTATTATTAGTTTTGTTAAAAATAAAATTTTATTGGTTAATATGAATTTATCAATGCTTTTTCACATATATTTTGGATATATAGTGTAAGAATTATTCATTTATGATCAACTTTGTAGATCATCTCACAAACTATATGTGAGATGCATGGAACCTACAAAACGCCACAATTCAAAATAGTTGACTATGGTGTATTGTGGATTGGTCCTTGCCACAGTGGTGCAGTGTGGACCAGTTCACACCCACTAATTTTTCATCCATGTTATATAACACCCCCTAAATGGATTGTTCAATCTAAAAGCTTAAATTGTTAGGTGAGGTCCCTGAATCGGTTTTTATTCTCTAACATGCGCCCCTCACGCGTGTTATAACAGATCATATTGGAGCTTCCCCAATCCCCATTTGGCAAATAATATACCTTGATGTTAGCAAGACCATTGATAAGAAAATTCAAGTAACTATAAATTAAACATTCCTCACTGAGTTGGTGTGCCTTTGTTTACAGGCTATTTATCTTGAATAATTACTGAGATAAGGATTTTTTAATGGTTGTGACCAAATATGTTATAATGATATATTCATAACCTCCTTAGTGGGAATGTAGTCAACAAGCTTCTACAAGGAGAAGTTGTGACAGGGAGGGACAAATAAATGATCATGGTTCATATTGAGAAAGGATTAACAAAAGCGTAATAGCTATTCAATGGCTATATAATCAATGATAAAACTCCACACCAATAATAAAACACATGGGACCCACAACCATTTAACTTTGTACTATGAGCTTTTATTCCTTTTACCTTCTTAGGAATTAGGCGAATACAAACTATATGTTAGATACAAGGATAAATTTACAAATTCAACATTTTCACTTAGTAATGGAGATGGAACTAGAAATTCTAGCATTCAGTCATAAGTTTGTCCTCTTACCGGTTAAGGAAGAAAATATGGGAGCTATGGTCTACAGTAGTACAAATATTTTGCATACATCTTTGGATGATCACATCAGAATTGGAATTGAAATCTCCACATTATGCAACTATGTATATTGAAGAAATTGAGCAGGCATCTAGCTAATAGCTTGCTAAAATTGAGTTAGCATGTCTGTTGTAGCTCGACAAAAGTGATCTTTCCTGAATAAAATAACAAAAGGCTTCTTCATACTTATCATTACTCAATGAATGGTTAGAAAACCACCATAGTCTCCTCCAAGTCAAATAAGCTAAAAAAAAATAAAAAACTCTAAAGATTAAGGGAATGTTTGGTATCGATGGCATTTGTTTGATAAACACTTTCTATGATTTTGTCTCGATTTTCAAGACATAATCTGTTTTAAACGTTATTCAGCAGTTCAGCACCATTAGATGTCATTAAGTTCCACATGCACTGAACAATAAAAAATTGCCCATCAAAATGAAATATGTCATTTTGGCATTTTTCTAATAAATGGCTCTCACATAAATTATGAGAGAAACGTTTATTTGATAATTTGCTCAATCAAACGATAAATTCGGTGTTTTTTTTCCGTTAAATGCCTACATGATGTTAAAATTGCATCATTGCCCCAAAAAATGCCATCAATACCAAATACCATCTAAACTAAGGTCATGTTTGATACCATTGCCAATTCTTAGAACTATAATTGGGTCATATCGCTTGTGGCTTGGCAAGAAGGCTCGACATGAAATTGGGTTGGCCTAGCACAGCACAACACGACGATATGCTGGTCGTGTCGGGTATGACACGATGGGATGGGTCGTATTGGGCCTGGGGTTCCTGGTTCATGGTCCAGCACGACACGGCATGACCGAGTGGGTTGTGCCGCCCACATGCCAGCACAACCCAACACAACCCATATATATAATAACAATAACAATTATTATTATTATTATTATTATATAATATATTAGTATATAATATTATATATATTATTTTAAGATTTTTTAATTTTTTAAATATACCTCTCATGGCTTGGCCCAAGGTTCAGCCCATGGACCAGCTTGGCTTGTAGCATAGCACAACACAACATGAGCCTGCATGGGCTTGGGTCATGGGTCATGGAAGAGGGAAGCACGACCCTTCAAAAGCATAGGTCGAGTCGTACTGAATTGGCACAACCCGATTTACACCTCTATCAATTTCCTCCAATGAGATTTCTCGTATATTATCGATTTCTGATATCATTGTTTTTTTAGAAATTAGAGAAATTGTTTGTTTGGTACCATTGATGCCATGTTAGCCGATTTTTGAGAAATTCATAAATTGACAATAAATTTGTTCGGTAATGATTATTAGTAGTGATTTTTTATTTTCTGAGAATTATCTCACTCATCCGCATCAGATGACACATCATCCAAAATAATTAGAATCATCCTAAAAATAGGAATCATAAAAAATGGTGACTGTCTGATTTTAATAATCGTTTTCTGAGCGGTTTGTAGAAATCAACAATGGTAACAAACAACACCCTAATTCAGTTTTCCAAGTGAATTAAAAAAAAAAAAAGCCCACCTCAAAAGCATTTAAGACTTGCCATGTGGGTATCAAATAAAATATAAATATGGTTGCATATGGGTAGTGATGAGGCGTGATCTGGTTGACCAATCATATACCGCCATGCGGCAAGTCCGAATCATTTAATGACACCTCAGTGCTATGTAGAGGAAGTTGCACTCGGCCAGATCGGCTCAAGCCAACCAGCCCGATCTACTTCTCAACCGGTGGAAGACTAGCAGGTCGCTCTACATCAGAGCAGAGCACCTCACCTCGGGAGAACAAGCTGATGACTTCAGATGTTGGCTTGACCTCCCCAACCTAGGAAACCAACAACTTGAGTAGCCAACTAACCTCCGGGGTACCGACTATGTGACAAGTTGTCCTTATCTGGTTAGTACATATACCGGTTCCAAAACAGACGACAGCACATCGCCTACTTTGTAGGGATTGCCCTAGTCTCCTTACGCTTTAGAGAGACTAGATGAGGATCATTGTCAATGCCGGTACAAGATGCCCTGAAGATAATAGACCGATAATACCTATTGCTCTTGGATATCTCGAACACAACTCTTAAACCCCGAGGACTATAAAAAGGCACCTCCATGCCTTCACAAGGTATTAGCTCTCTAGCTCGACTAACTTAAGTATTAGAGTGCCAAGCCCGGGTCCAAACCCCTAGGTACTCTGTGATAGATGTGATAAACATCCTAAAAGTCAACACGATAAGGATATCTCTTAAGCTTCTCTATCCTTCTCACTAGTGTAACAACATTGCATTTATCTCTGTAATCTCCCTTCCCACACGTCTCTTCTATTGTAACTATAAATACACTAGCTACTCAATAAACTAATCAGTTTGAATTACTCTCCTCAAACTATTATTGTGTTTCACTCTGATCTCTTTTCTCTTGCAGATCGGTTCACTAACCTCAGCACCAGTCGTCCAAACTGTCTTCCAACAAGGAAGTTTGGCGATTGATCCCTCATCAAGTAGTGTCTAGCTAAGGTGGCATATGGCAATGAATTTTGATCTTCCTAAGAGGTCCAAGTTGTTTACCTAGCCCAGCCCAAATACATAGTCCATGGCCTGATGTCTTGAATCCTTGTGGTCCTTAAAGAGAATAGATAATGCTGGTCTACTTTGGATGTCATAAATTCATGCTTAATAGACAACTTGGATCCATCCATTTTCATTAGACTACTTCAACTCGACATTGGCTAAAGGTGATCATGGGCCAAGCCAGGTTTAGCACATTCAATAGAATTCGAATTTGGTGTGGGGGTGGTGTGAGAATGGACCGTGATATAGATACCAGTCCTTTTATAATATTTATCTTTATTATTATAAAGCCGATATTTATGGTTTTACTGCTTATCATAAAAATTAAATTCTATATATAATGTCAACTTAATTAATGTAAAGAATATCTTTTTTTTTTTTTTTTGAGAGAGAGAGCCAAAAAAATCAATTTATATCTTTAGATAGGTATCCTTGCACATTTTATATAAATATAAAATTAAATTTAAAATAATTTGTGCCAAATTGTACACTAACCAATGAATTCAACAAAATTCAGGGGTGGTTTTGAATTATTAATTCGGACTCTTAAAATACTCTGTCACATACCGGCTATCAGCCAGTGTAATTACACCACGTGGCTGTGGTACCCAATAAATTTGGGCATGCAGCCGTAAACCACCATTGATGATTCTCAATACACGGCGGAGATGTGATGTGAGACGTTACGGGAAGATGTTCCCAATGTACGGCTATACTTATCTTACATATGTCAGCGTTTTGCACTGAACAGATCCGATCTCACAGTGAACCTCAGTACCTCACGAACGTAGAAAAATGGCCTTTTTTGATAAATTAAAATACTAGTTTCTCCACGTCACAGTGACATGAAAATCCAGTAATTACTCTCCACGTGTATATTGGTCATACGATGTACCGTTAGATCCTCCACTCTGGCATGAGAAAGCAAAACCGCCGGTTTAGCCGGTGGTTAAGGTTTTCACGAGACCTCCTCGTTTGCCCACTTAGAAACCCGATATTTAATGACGGGCATCGGAAGTAGACAGAAATGCTAGCTACCCATAACTGATTCAGAGTGGCTTTGCTGCTGTAAACCTCGAGAACGATCAACGATGAGGAAGTGGATGATCCCTTCCGCCTTGCTTCTCTTACTGCTCCTTTCTCTTCTACCAGATCAAGGTGAGTATTTTTTTTTTTTTGTGCTGAAGCTTCTTCTGCATGTTCATTTCTTCGAAAAGCTTAGATTTTTTATTCCTTAATGGCGTAAAGCATTCATGACGTCCTATTTCAATCAGCGATCCGAAATAAAACGAAATTAAGAACGAATGGGTGTCCATAGTGCCATTTCCGAGTCTTGGTCTACGACCTCTGTTGCAGTTTTTGAGGACTACTACCTGCATTTTAATATATTTAGTGATGGAATTGATTAAACTGAATTGTTTCAGTTTGTTGGATCTTTTGAGTTCTGCGGATATGCTTCGCCCGCTAGTTTATAATTCTGTTTATTCAAAGGTTTTACTGAGGTTCGGTTCATGAGACGATCAAGAGTTGCTATAGTTAAAGGATGTTGTTATATCTGAAAATAAATATAAAGGTTCTAGTGATTTATATTTGCACCATTTGTTGATTTTGTGTTATTTATGATTCTTTAGGACACAAGATACATGCTAACGCGGAGGAAAGTGAAGATCTTGTTGATCCTCCAAAGGTAGAAGAAAAGATTGGTGCCGTTCCTAAGGGATTATCTACTGATTCGGATGTTGCCAGGAGGTTTGTGTTTTTTAGATATGTCTTTCCCAACACTGGATGCATTCCAGTTTCGCGTTTATAATGTTTGGTGTTTTCTTTCTCGTATGCCTCTGAAAGTAATCAATTTGGTTCAGGGAAGCAGAATCAATCTCGAAAAGATCTCTCCGCAGTAATGCGGAGAAGTTTGAATTTCAGGCTGAGGTTTCTCGGCTCATGGATATACTTGTCAACTCTCTTTATAGCAACAAAGACATTTTCTTGAGGGAGCTAATCTCTAATGCTTCTGATGTAAGTGGATCTCAGAAATTAGTATTTATTCGTTTTTCTTCCTTCGTAGATGCATTGATTTTATCTGAATTGTCATATTCATTTTCAGGCATTGGATAAAATCAGATTCCTTTCTCTCACCAATAAGGAGATTTTGGGTGAAGGTGATAATACAAAGCTCGAAATCCAGGTAAGCAGTGGCTTTAGTACAGTGATTACATTGTAAAATTTGGGATTAAATTGGACGCTTTAAGAAAGCCGGTTGAGACTTGATTAAATGTTTAAATTTGATAATCCAGATTAATTTGGATAAGGAAAAGAAAGTGCTATCTATCCGTGACAGAGGTATAGGAATGACGAGGGAAGATTTGATCAAGAACCTGGGAACCATTGCAAAATCTGGGACTTCAGGTAACTTTCTTTTTAATTGATCTAGACAAGAAAACACTCAATTGTGGGTGATGTTTATTGTTCAGTTTTGGATTGAACCAAGTCGGATTTTTCTTTCTTATGCAGCTTTTGTGGAGAAAATGCACAGTGGAGGTGACCTTAACCTCATTGGGCAGTTTGGAGTTGGGTTTTACTCTGTGTATCTTGTTGCTGACTATGTTGAAGTCATCAGCAAACATAATGATGACAAACAGTAAGATTTTGACTAATTAATTTTGAAAGTCTTTTTCTCATCTCTCACTTGGATCCTTTGTGGACATAGAAAACCAAGATAACTTTTCTTTGTTGTTTTCAGGTATATATGGGAGTCCAAGGCTGACGGGTCATTTGCAATTTCTGAAGATGTATGGAATGAACCACTTGGACGTGGAACTGAGATCAGATTGCATCTTAGAGAGGAAGCTGGGGAATATTTGGAGGAATTTAAATTAAAAGTGGGTATATTGATTTCTAGATGGATAGTTCTCTGCTCTTGTTATGGTCTACACTTTCTTCTTTGAATGTTGCTAAATATGGTTCAAAGATTTTGTTGCAAGACGCAACAACTTGTCTTTCAAGTTCTCTAACATGGAGTCAATCTACTGAGTGGAAGAAGTAAGATTTGGTTTTACAGACACTCACCACCTGTGCAAACCATGTCTTTCTCTTCCATATTTTATCTACTATATCCAATAAGAAGTAAGAACTCATCCTTCTATTGTTGTTATAGATGGGTATGAACTTGCTCATGACATTGGCATAGTTCATTACTTGCACATTGTTATCCTACTCATTGTCATAATCATCCATGTTAATTGTTTTCTTCTCTGTTTTTGTTATGGATAGACACTGTTTTGTTAGTTCATAGTGTAATGGTGCTTTGGGTCATTCTGGGTTGGTTTTCCATTTTCTGCATTTTGCAATTTTCTAGGACATCCCCACTGAGAAGTTTAAGCAGGATCCTGTTTTCCTTGTTTAGGCTTACTATCTTGAATTCCTTAGGCTGCACAGATATTGGTTTCATGGAAGCATACATATTTTCTCCATAAACTGAATAGTGGGTTTAGATTTTTCATGTTGGCTTTGTAGAAGTTCTACTTGAAAAGGGAAATAAACAATAATAAGAAAAATTACATATCATAAGAAATCCTTATTTGTCTGCTCAAAATCTAATTCTTTTATTTCATATTGTAAACACTAGGAAATAAATATGTGATTCTGAATTCTGATCATGTATTGGGCCAATTGTTTATTATTTGAAACCTTCTGTTTCAGAAAAGAATGGAAACCACCTTGTCTTCTTATTTATTTCTTCTGTTGGCACCTTGAGGTTTTGCTTTGTTATTGTTATTTTAGAATTTACAACTTTTGGCTTATCCTTCTGGTTTCAGGAGTTGGTGAAGAAATATTCTGAATTCATCAACTTCCCCATATATATTTGGGCAAGCAAAGAGGTGGAGGTGGAAACTCCTGTAGACGAAGATGAATCTAGCGAAGAAGAGGAAACATGTAATACTTTCATGTCAAACCAATTAACTTTCTTTTAGGACACTTCAACAATCAACACCAAAGTTGTAATCCTGTGAACCTTTGGAGATCACAACTAGAATTTCTATTTAACCTTTTATTGGTCTTGTTACTCAATGGCTTTATAGTCTACTGAGATGTACTCATTCTCATTGTCACAACCAGCTGAAAGCAGCTCGGAGGAGGAGGAACAAGTGGATGAAGAAGATGCTGAAACTAAGCCAAAGACAAAGAAGGTGAAGGATACAACTTATGAATGGGAGATTTTGAATGACGTGAAGGCCATATGGCTACGAAGTCCAAAGGAAGTGACTGATGATGAATACAACAAATTCTATCACTCCCTTGCTAAGGTAAATTTTTCAGGATTGTAGAACATTAATGGAGTACCACAAAAATCTTTTCTGCTTCATAATAAATATTTATTCATCACATTTTCATTTTCTCTTATTGAGCAGGATTCATCACATTTTCATTTTCTCTTATTGAGCAGGATTCATCACATTTTCATTTTTTCTTATTGAGCAGGATTTCAGTGATGAAAAGCCCTTAGCTTGGAGTCACTTTACTGCAGAAGGTGATGTAGAGTTCAAAGCTGTTTTATTTGTCCCTCCCAAGGCTCCTCATGATCTATATGAGAGTTACTATAATGCCCGCAAAACATATGTGAAATTATATGTCAGGCGTGTCTTCATTTCGGATGAGTTTGATGAATTTCTACCCAAGTATCTAAACTTCCTAAGGGTAATCAAGCTTTTCTTGATTCCTAACATTGAGTTCTGTAGGACAAGATGGATATCTGAATTTGGTTATTTCTTGCCTGTTAATCTGAGATCTCAACTTGTCATTTTTCTTTTTATTCTTGACAGGGTCTTGTTGATTCTGACACCTTACCACTGAATGTATCACGAGAAATGCTTCAGCAGCACAGTAGCCTAAAGACAATAAAAAAGAAACTCATTCGCAAGGCCCTTGATATGATCCGAAAGATCGCTGATGAGGATCCTGATGAGTCTAACAATAAAGAAGATAAAGGTATGGGTTTGGTTGTACTTCCATGTAGTTCTATTTCATCTTTGTTGTCCAATGAGCCCATCTGTGAAACATCTTCAACCACTAGTTTTCTTATAATTCTTTTTCAGTTTAGTTCTATCCTTTGGTCTCTATGTTATTGTATAGCTAATCCCCCTCCCCCCTTTGTTGATATTGTAAATGTGAAAGTAGATGCTGAGAAGGCCAGTGATGACAATGAAAAGAAGGGTCAGTATGTCAAATTCTGGAATGAGTTTGGCAAGTCCATAAAACTTGGTATTGTTGAGGATGCATCTAACAGAAACCGCCTGGCTAAGCTTCTCAGATTTGAAAGGTATAACCTTGTTTCATATAGAATTCATATTTGGTGGTGTGTATGATTCCTCTTTTTTGACTGTCTTGAATTACATACTTTTTTATTGAGTGTACCTCATTTGTTGTCTATGCCCTTTTTACAGTACCAAGTCAGGTGGCAAGTTAACCTCACTTGATCAGTACATCTCAAGAATGAAACCGGGACAGAAGGACATCCTTTACATAACAGGGACCAGCAAGGAACAATTGGAAAAATCACCATTCCTTGAAAGGCTCACAAAGAAAAACTACGAGGTATTAGTTGAAGCATACTCTTATTTCATCTGTCTATTTTTTTGGAAATTTTAGTAACTAGTGGATTTTTTCCCTTTCTTGGTATCTCAAGTTTAGTTGTTTCTTTCTTTATATTATCTAAATCTTTCCTTTTATTTGTGGAATATACTTTTGCAGGTTATTTTGTTCACAGATCCCGTGGATGAGTACCTCATGCAATACTTGATGGACTATGAAGACAAGAAATTCCAGAATGTCTCAAAGGAGGGGCTGAAACTTGGTAAGGAGTCCAAGGACAAGGAACTCAAGGAGTCATTCAAGGAGCTGACTAAGTGGTGGAAGGGTGCTCTCACCAGTGAAAATGTGGATGATGTGAAGATAAGCAACCGTTTAGATAACTCCCCTTGTGTGGTGGTGACATCTAAGTATGGTTGGAGTGCAAACATGGAAAGGATCATGCAGTCACAGAGTCTGTCAGATCACAGAAAACAGGCATACATGCGTGGCAAGAGGGTTCTTGAGATCAACCCAAGGCACCCGATCATCAAGGAGCTTCGGGAAAGAGTTGTGAAGGATCCAGAGGTAATCCTTTAAACCTCTTACTTGACAAAATTAAAAAAAAAAAAAAATCCATAGGTTTCCCTCATGGGCCAACATAGTGGTTTCACCTAGGAGTCTTGGATCTAATATAAACCTAATTAGACTATGTAATTGACAGCTTCTTCCTGTTCTCTGTATTTGTATTTAAGAGGTCTATGAATTATGCAACTCTCCCTGTGCTCTAACATGTCATATGGCATGTTTTTCTTTACAGGATAACAGTGTAAAGCAGACGGCACGCCTTATCTACCAAACTTCACTTATGGAGAGCGGTTTCATGCTTGATGACCCCAAGGATTTTGCCTCCCGTATCTATGACTCAGTTAAGACAAGCTTGAACATCAGTCCGGATGCTTCTGTGGAAGAGGAAGATGATGCAGAAGAGGCGGAAGCTGAGTCTGACACCAAGGAAGCTGCAGCTACTACAAAAAGCAATGCAGAGGGAACCTCTAAAGATGACGCGGACGAAGAACCTTCTTCTGTCAAGGATGAGTTATAAGATCGATCATCTCAAGGATGGTGGCCTTTCTCCTTGATATTTTATGGGATTTCTATCCCATCCCACCCTTCTGCTCACAACAGAATGGTGGAAGGAAACGGTGGGGATGGGCTTAAAACTAATGTAAGCATCACAGTCAGTCTTTCTTTCTCTTCCTTTTGCATCTAGTTAACTAGAATTTACAGGATAATTAGCGTGACTAATCCACGTAGGGCAGAGTTTGAGTTTTTCTCCTCTCGAATCTTCTGTTCCGCTGCATGTAATGAACTTGTCTACACGCCATTTTTTGTTAGAAAGTAATTGATTGATTCTTCCTGCAATCTAGCAGTTTGTCGCTTCACGGTGTGTTCTCCATTTTGTATGGTTTTATTTTTTAAAGCAAAAACATAACCCCAGATTTTCCTAATTAAAGCTTTGAGCTAAGTTTTTTCTTCTTTTGGTAAGCAACTTTGTGCTAACTTGTACGCTAATGATAATTTACCAAAATTCGCAGGGGTGGTTGAGTCCGGATTTCCGAGTCCGGCTTCGATCAGGGCAAAGCCTGTGAGGAGCAAATCCCAATTCAGGGTGGTTATGATTGATCAGGTTAAAAAAATGAGATCTTTTAGTATCATAATCACCATTCTCATATTTTTTGAGAACCATTTCATGAATTTCGAATTCTCATTCGTCGTTAGTGTACAACTTGGCGCAAAACACCTAAATTTAAAAAACTCGGATCGGTAAAATCAATGTTTTAAAAATCAACCATCAGTTTTTGAGTAAAAAATAAAAAAAAAATAATAACAAAAAAAAAAGGCTGGTCCGAAACTGTTTGTGCAGGTCAAATGAGTCAATGGTTTGATTGTCTGGTCAATAGATTATTGACTAAGTCAATGTTTTTGATAAAGGAGGGATTTAGGGGTAAAATATAATCAGTTGTCTGGATGGTTTTTGGGTTGAATGGTCCGATCATATAGATCAACGATGGTTCAAAAACCATAGCACAAACAACCGTCTTTGCTTGGAAGGGCTTTTTGACTGTAGCTTTTGGGTTTTTAACAAACTTTGAAAGCCGAGTAAGATTTTCATCTGGAATGGCAATAGGGTGGGTTTGGGGTGGGGCACCCCACCCCGCCCCGTAGCCAAAATACTCTACCTTGTCTCCGCTCCATTTTCAATGGCAGAGCGGGTTCGGCACAGGGCAGCCACTCCTATGAATTCCCAAATTCTCTTCACCCTGATGTAACCACCTAAAAATACATCTTATTGATATGAATATTTGGGATTTGTTCCCCAAACTTTAAAACTCGACAATTTGATATCCAAACTTTCAAAATATGCCAATTTAATACTAATCATTAACCAATCGTTAAGTGGCATTTGAAAAGACACAAATGCCCTTCAAATGCTATCTAATTTCCTTTTATCAATCATCCAAACGTTGACAAAAAAATGAACAATCCCAAATCCTTCTCTTCTATTCAAGAAAGTTGGGGTCATCAGAATGCCCATTGAGACATGATCCCAACTTTCTTGAATAAAAGAGAAAAGGATTTGGGACTGTTTGTTTTCATCGACATTTAGATGGTTGATAAAGAAAATTAGATGACACTTGAAGGGCATTTGTGTCTTTAAATATTACTTAACGATTAGTTAGCAACTAGCTAACAATAGGTACTGGATTGGCACATTTTGAAAGTTTGGGTATTGAATTGTCACATTTTAAAGTCAAGGACCAAAGTAGCACTAATCCTAAAGTATAGAGTGCTAATCAGAAAATTTCCCGATATTTTATTAGTTTACCATCGGATTTGGAGTGTGTTCAAGAAATTATATGCAAACTCTGTCTCCAATTCAGGACAAAAATATCTTTCCCACCCCCGCCCCATTCAGGGTGGGACCCCGATTTTACGAAAAACTTTGCATATTCCATCCCCTAGTTGAATTTGATAGCTGTTTTATTGTCTAAATCAATCATTTTGTTCTATGTCAGTCATGAGATTATGGGTCATATATATACTGGTGTGGAGCAAAATGATTAGTCCAGTCATTGCAACAGACTCGTTCACTCGCATTATTAAGAATGCCTTGTACATATAATACAATAAAATAGTATCCCTTAATGGCCATCAAAAACAAGTCCGAATCTCTACACAATCCTTCCAGAAGAAACTCCCGTACATCAAATTAGAGAGTGCCATGTCAGCATTCTCTCATGCTTAAATTTTACATGTGTCAGTGGGAATAACAAACGTTTCAAAGTCCTCTCATTCTATTTTCAATATATTAAAATTTAAAACAAATAAAAAATATGGTTTAGGGTTTCTTCACCCTATTTCATTCAAATAAAAAATAAGAATTTACAGAGCTGAAACTAATAAAAAAAACCACCAATAAGAATTCTGACTTTCGACTCTCAAAATTGAATCGTGTTCTATTACTTAGCCGACAAAATCATTTGGGGGGAAGAAAGTAAAATTTAGAAAGAGTGTCTCAGCTTCAGGCGTTCAATTCTTAGAAGTCGGAGCTCTTATTCGAGGTTTTTTATTTGTTTTATTTACAAAGACTCTGTAACAGGAGTCAGCAATCGGAAGTCCTATTTTTTATTTGTCTTAAAAGTTTAATATATTAAAAACAGAATGGGAGGATATTTGAAACATCTGTTACTCCCACTCCCATATATTAAATTTAAGCATAAGAGAGTAGACATGGCACTCTCTGATTTGATGTACAGGACACTCTCTAGGAAGGATTGTGCAGGAATCCGGACTCTAAAAAACAGTTTTGGCTTTTGGTTTAACACATCCACCCATATTAGTATGTCATCGTGATCTGACTGGGATTTTGGTCCATAGCCGACGGAATCATGACACTACAAGAAATTAAGACCGCCGGCTTTGATCTAAGGCGGTGGTCTTTAGTCTGCCCCCTAAACCTCTGCTGGCTTAGGTCAAGACTGCCGCTTTAGGTGGCCGGTTCAATATGTGGTCACATCAATATGTTCAACTACACTTCCTTAAGGTTTTGATTGTCCAATTTTTACATACATAACTTCATTCATTCAATGAAATAATAAGAAAAATGCATAGAAAATAAGTGTTGATCTCAAATATAATTCCAATATCCTTCTAAAGAAAATGAAAGCATATTCAATGTATTCTTCTATGGAGATAACAATCATCATCTTTGCTAGTCAAAGATGCAATCAGAGGACAATTGTTACTCTTAAGATTTTTTTTATTCTTTTTACCATTAAATTATTCTCAAGGTCACTCATGCCAAAAGAGAGTATCATGATTTTCCACCACCAATGTCGTGCTCTCAATTGTCTAAAGAAGATGTACAAGTTCTGCTTATATTAATAAAATTATCTTTTCTTTATTGCTGATAAAAGAAGAAAGAAAGAAAGAAAGAAAAGCCTCCACAAATGATGCAAACTAAGAGAATAATGTTAGGGAACAAAAGCATCCATTGAAGTCTACCTGTCTCTGTAGCTGTTCAAGTCTAAGTTTCTCTACATTTGGTAGTTCATATTCCCCATTTTCCAAAAGCCTCTGATCTAGCCTGGGTCTTGAATTAGTTGGAGGCAACTTCTCCAGTAGGTCAAGTGTCAAATTGTATCATGTTTGAGTGACCGATTTGTCTCATTTCTATAACAACATAGCTTCTGACACGGGATCATACCTCTTTGGCTTTATAGTAGGATCTCCCAACCTTGTTTCTAGTTCTGTTATTCTGCACAAATCCTTGCACCTGCATGCATGTATGTAAACATACCTTCATTTATTTTCTATACATCAAGCTAATAATGTCACAAAAAGGGATAAAAAATAAAATAAAATGGAAAAAGTAAAAGACCTAACGACTAGATACAGAGATGTTATCGACTCCACAAAACAAGTCACCTAATGTAACTCATTCCAAAGTCCAATTTAACAAGTGAAATGCATACTCAATCTGAATTTGCAAATTATCTTTTGAGTTCACAGTATGATTTGTTCAATTTTCCCAATCATCTATGTAATTAATCCACTAAATTCCTAGACAGCCTGACAAACAATTGATCCCTTTCCAAATGATCCCTTGGGCCTCAATTGATTTACACCAATTGATCCCTTTTCCTTGAACCCAAATTCAGAACTCATAAACTCTAACTTTGACACTAATTGAGATTTCAAAATCCCTAAAACAATTCAGTCATGCATTCCATACTTATCAGCAGCCATAGAACTTTGTTATGTGCAAGAATTACTACTTTAGGGGAGTGGAGAGTTGAGACCCTCTTGGTAAGATAATGGGAGAAAAGGCTAGCACTGCTTCTTGACCATAGGTGGCTTCATTGTGAATCTAGGCCTCCTCTTAAGGAGTGCAAGTGTTCTCTTGGCATAAAATGAGTGGAGCCATGGTAACACTCTCTCCTTGAACTTGAGTATGATGAAGAAGATCAGTCTGTATGAAAAGGACTACTATAGCAGCCAAGTCCCACCATTTGGAACGATTCTTTGAAATCCCATAAATCGTCTTGAGAATTTGAACTCCTGTGAGCTTTAGATCACCTTGTTCCATAGGATCAAACTTGAGCCCAATTTCCATTTGGCTATTAAGTCAAGAATAAATAAACATGACTGGCTGATCCATGGCTCTGATTTAATAAAGAGATGGTATTTTTTTCTCAATCAATAGCAATGTTGTTTCTCCTTTCTTTTTGTTTGTTAAAGCAATGTCCCTACCAAGGCTAATTCATGAAGAGATGGCTTTGTGTGCATTATCTACATGCTTTGAATAGATTCAATTTGTTATACAAATCTGAACAAACTCTCCTATACTCATACCCAGGTCCAAGTTCCATTAAAAAAAAATCTTTCTTAGGCAACAACAAATGTTATGCCAATCTCGTCACCACATCAAGGGAGTCAAGTTTTAACTTGTAGCACACAATGTACTCTTAAAGGCTCAAAGCAATATTCCATGCTCCCATAGTCTATTGCGAGTGGCATATTATATAAGTTATATATTTTATAAACTTACTAGTTTACAACATAAGCAACCTTAAAATGAAAATACAAAATCCAAGAAAACTGAGAAATATCCTTGAGAAAGGAATCCTTTTTGGTGCCCAACCCATGCAAGCATGTCCAACACCACTCTCTCTCAAAGAATTGGGTCTGCTTGAGTGGGCTTACTTGTAGCTCATGCTAAAAGAATCATAAGATTATATTTGGAGCATAAACCTTTAGTCCTTTTGATTGGACTGCATTACAATATTTGCTGAACCAATCAAGCTATAGAATTTAACAAGAAAATAAAAAAAGATTGTTAGTATGGATTAGGGCATAAGATGCACCATTACAATATAAGTTCAATGGGAGAGAGCCTCTCGTGTAAGTGATGATACTTCAAAGTACATGAATTGTGTAATCCATATAGAAGAAGTTTCTACGAACTTGCATTTTTGTAAGATGGCCATCCATATGATGATCCAAGAAAATATCGATTTTCAATATATATATACAAAGTGTTGGGCAGATCTGATTGCTTGGACATATCTTCTTTGAATACTCTTATCTATCACCAAGTTTTTCTCACAGATAAGTTTCTGCAATAGAATGTTACAAATAACACTTCACCCAAATTTTCTTTTCACAATGAAAATTAAATAAAGAACAGGTTTCAATGTAAAATCTTATTCAATTACTTAGCATATTTAGCAATTCCAGAATAATTTTGTATTGCCCAGCCTTGCACTAGTGTTGGAAAGAGGAATAACTACTGGTGACCATAGAACAAGCACCATGCAGATAAACTCAAGAATTCTGCAAACCAAAGTAAGAAATTTGTTGGGGGGGATATATTAGAACACAAGCAGGTATAAGGGTTCAAAATAAGGAACTTGTCTATTTCCTATAAAATATCTTTTAATTTTATTGGTTTGTCAAAGGGACAAAATTCCAGAAGCACCTCTCTACTTCATCCACCATGCTCTGATTATGTAAGCAACATTCTCTTCAATTTCTCCCTCACTATAAGATTATCAAACCAAGGCAGCAGAAATAATTGCTTAAGGTGTCTCTCGGCAATTGATTTTATCCTATATCTGCTTTTCCACCCTGATTGTTGCTATAATTGAAGTACATATATTCTGTCTTAGTCCTTTTTATCTGTAAACCATTTGATTCTAAACATTTATTAATAGTTCTATATTTCAAAGCTAAAACCCTTATATTCTCCTATTTCCCTTTATATAAGATCTGGTTTGTTTCTTTACCCACCACATACACTATAGTAGTACCATCCTATGCCATTAACCCACTATCAAAAACAAATCCAAAGAAAAAAAAACAAACGAATCCTATAGAATCCATATAGAAACTAAAACTTGCATTTTTTTAAATGTAAGTAATGGAAAATACCTATAAAGTAAAACTTGCCTATCAAAAAATGGATAAAGATGACAAAAAGAAGTAATGGAAAATATCCATAAAACAAAAAAAAAATCAAAGATTATTAAATTTCCACTCAAGTCCAAACTCTTCTAAGATGTGATATAGTTACAAATCCAAACTCTTGAAGATCCAATATGTTCTTTTGATTTTTAAACTACTATTCATGCTAGCAGATCTGATTTTTCCATGATTTTGTTTGTTTTGTGAAGCCATTACAATGTTTACATTGTCTGTTTCTCACAAGTACGCAATGCTTCCATTATTACCATACAGAACTAAAAGATCAAATAAATTTGAAGGAAAATGAACATGGAGATGGGACTGGTTTTTACATAATCAGACTATATAATCAAAATGGTAGGAACTTCGTTGGGTAAGTTAGAATAGATACAGATGCACATTGTGCACCATCTTTTATCAGAGAGTGAGGGCCTATAGGCCCTATACCCATATGAAGGCTTCTTCTACATAATTACCAGAGGATATTTTGGAGCCTTCAGGAAAATCAGATAAAAAAATACCAAAAACCAACTACCGCTTAATATGGAATGAATGAATTAGATAAGGGAATAATAGAATGGCATGCCTCTTACTATGAGAGCTTCCATCTTGGGGATGCTTGATGGTTGTATTTTAAAGACAGATCTGGTGAAAGAAAAATGCGAACGCGCTGAGAGCACAACATCCAATGGGTAAATCTCTCCATGAACTTAACACACAAGTATGGGAATGTTACGATATGCGGCTGGATGTTGTGCTCTCAGTGTGTTCACACTTGTTGCTTTCATCAGATCCAAGATCGGTATTTTTCTATTTTTTTATCAGTGCTCTGTATTTTTCTATTTTCATCCATGAAAGAACAAGACAAGGGAACAATAGAATGACCTGTTTCTTATTATGAGAGGTTCCATCTTCAGTACATTTGGTGGTTGTATGGTTGTATTCTTGTGTTTTCATTGGAATAGTAATGCTTCTCTCATCAAACTAAAAGCAAAGCAATTTTACCAAGCAGCTTCAAGATTCCACCCTTCTGTCCCAAGTCTGCCAGCATTGCTACCAGCCTGTTCACATGTAGAAAATTGGGAGGTGCTCTAAAATTTTGAAGAAAAATTATTATTACAGACAATTCAAAGAAAAAAATGCAAGTGCCATGATGTTGACCTTTCTTGATCCACTTCACCATCACTTTTGGTAGGTACCACAGGAGCAGCAACTGACATGGCTTTCTCAGCTAGGCTACTCACTATATTGCTTTGGCTCTTTTCTGGTACTGTTTCCTCAAACTTACCACATTCTGCCTCATGGTTCCCTTTTCATTTGGAAACCTAGAAGAAACTTCAGCAGTATTGTCCCTTTTATATGGTTCTTTTATCTGCAATTAGTACTTACAATCAGATTTACTACAGTAAACCTGTCATAATAACATAAAAGAGCCAAAACAATAAAAGAATGGCATTGGAAAACATAAAACAATGCTTAAAATGATACTACCATATTTATTGTAGTAAGCATCATAAGAACACTTCTGTGTAAACATAATATCAACTAAAACTAAGCACATGAAAGCTTTAACAGCTAATGTTCAAAAATCCAAATAAAAAAGAAAATTAAAAAAGGAATTCCTCTGGCATAACAAGTATATCCCTAAACAAAAACATTGTGAAATGGATTAAAAATTTAAGTTTTTGAGCAAGATAAGAATATAAATGTCATTGAGATCCTAGGGAAGGAAATGAGAGACAAACTGCAGTTCGGTCGCGGGCATACCTGAGGAATCATCGATCCAAAAAATGCAGTGCGATGGATGAATGGATTTGATAGGGGATTTGGCTCTGGAGAGTGAGAGATTATGAGGTTAGGGATTGTAAGTAGTTAGATCGAATGGAGAGTTAATGGCTGGAGGCACACATCCAATCTCTCGCATGCTTCAGGTTTAGAATAAAAAGAAATAGAAAAGGAGAGAATGAAAAAAATGAGAGCGAGTGAGAGAGAGAGAGAGTTCTGGGGATGCGAAGTTAGAGAGGAGGGAGATACGAAGAGGGCGGGAAGAGGAAAATGAGAAAAGAGAAGACGAAGAGACGCAGGAAAATTTTAAATCCGGTTTAAATTTAAAACCGCCGCATCTCTTATTTTAGACCGTCGCGCCTGTTCCCAAAACCAACGTAGTCATTAAGACCGCCGGGTCTAAACCGCTGGCTTAGACCGTTTTTCTTGTAGTGTGAGGGACAATTTTGTTGGCGAGCGTTGTATTTTTTCATCTGGAACCTTAGGTTTTATAGGGGTCGAAGGCTTTGTCATAGAATTCGAACCAAAGACAAGAAATGCGAGTTCTTGGGTTTGACATTCTGGGAGAGAGAGAGAGGGGCATGGAATGGATAAAATTCTGTTTGAAAGGAAAACAGATTTTTATAAACTTTATATTTGTAATGGCTTGGACTCCATGGCCAAGTTGTGACTCATTAAAGGTTGCAATTGTGGAAAATCCTCGCTGAAGAAGTTTCTCTCTATTTGGTAAGTCAAAGCTGTCCTTTTCTTTGGGTAAAAGACTTTATAGCATACCTAACCAATCGAGGGCTGACTCGTTGGTGTATTAGCTGGTTTGTTCCAGAGTTGACGTGAAATCAAATCTTGCAACCAGCACTTTAGGAAAAAAGGGGTGAGGGGAAATTATTAATGGTGTATAACACTGAATGCTAGAAAAAAAAAAAAAAAAGACTTACGCATACCTTATTTTTCCTAAATTGACTTATACCCTGAGATCTTGAAATAGACTTAAATATACCTTCCAAACGCTATCTAGCCTACCTTAAACCGTTTAAGCAAAAACACAGTATTATTCTTTTGCTAAAATGTCAAAGAGGGAAGGTATGTTTGAAGAACTTGCTGAAGTGATACCAAAGGTTGCACAGAAATACAACAATTCCTTCAAATCCTCTAAATCAACTACCAATGGTCATTCCACTCTGCTTAGACCATTCTTTGTTGGTATGAGTGGTCATAAATTGACCCTAATAATCCAAAGAAATTAGTTGATAGATATTTTGAAATAGAAAAGGAAAAGAATGTTAAAAGTTTTAATGTCTTTTGGACCTCCCAAATTAGACACAATAACAAGAATACAAAGAGAAAGAGTTCCCTCCTTTAGGTACCAAGACTACTATACATTTCAAAATGACTATATAACAAAATGCATCTGATCCACTAAATTTTTCAAAGGTAATGAATGGCCTATGCTGATCATGAAAAGTGGAAAATAGTCATGCATGAAGAATTTGATTCAATGGTTAGAAATCAAGTCTGGGATTTAGTTGAACCACCTAAGGATAGGAAAATTATAGGTTGTAAATGGATACTTAAAAGAAAATTAAAACCTGATAGAAAATAGAAAAAAATACAAAGTTAGATTAATAACTAAGGGCTATACACAAAAAGAAAGAATTGATTTTGAAGAGATTTATTCCCTAATTGCTAGATTTACATCCATTAGAATAATACTTTCATTCGTAGCATATTTTGATTGGAAACTGCTTCAAATGGATATAAAGCCACTTTTTTAAATGGAAAACTAAACAAAGAAATTTATATAAAATAACCAAAAGGATATATATAATAAAAAGGGAAGAAAGAAAAGTGTAAGATCACTATATGGATTGAAACAATCTCCTTGCATATGGCATTACACTTTTCACAAAGCAATTATAAAACTTAATACATTTGGTCATTGTATATATGTCTTGAATAGTAGGAGATTCATCATACTGTTATCTTTATATGTAGATGATATTTTAATTATTGAAAATGATCTAGAACTAATAGAAAAAACAAAGAATTGGCTGAAATCTCAGTTTGAAATGAAAGATTTAGGGGATGCCTCTCTTGTTATTGGGATAAGAATAGTGAGTGACAAAAAGTCTAGAACCTTATCTTTGTCTCAAGAAAGATACATAGACACTATTCTAAAAAATTTAGAATAGATGATTGTAACTTTATTGACACACTGGTAATTCAGTCAACTAAATTAACAAGATATACATATCCAATGACTGAACAAGAAAAATATTAAATGACAATAAAACCATATGTCCAAGCAATGGATAATCTAATCTATGTTATGTTATGTTATGTTATGTTATGTATTGGACCTGACTTTGAGTTTTGCAATTAACTTAGTTAGCCAATATGAAAATAATCCAGGATAACTTCACTCACAAGCAATGAGCTGATTTTGAAGGGGATATTGATGATAAGAAATCAACACCAAGTTGGAGGAAGAGTTATCTCATGGGCTAGTAAAAAGCAAGGATGTGTTGTCAAATTCACAATGGAGGTAGAATTTATAGCATAGTACTCCAACCTTAAAAATTCTTTGGATGAAGCTATTTATAAAAGAATTCAAGATAGATGAGTGGCTATTTATAGAAGAGTTCACAATAAGCTAGTTGAGTCATTTACAAAGCCTATTGTAGTTGATAATTTCAAAAGGCACATTTATGATTTGGGTCTCAAAGGCTAGCAGACATCTCAGGCATAAATGGCCAAGTGAGAGATGTTACTATGAGTGGCTAGATGCCCTCAAATGGAATAACCTTGGTGTATGGGCAAATCCAACAATCAATGGCTTAGCCTACACCAATGGGTAAAAACATTTTTTTCTTTGTGAACTACGTTGTTAACTTCTTTCTATGTTTATACTATTTGTTATTGTTGCATGTTTTACATTTGTATCTACTAAACAAACCATTGCCATGTCAGCATAATACATCCTTGGTATGGCCAATAGTTTGACTAGGTAGTTGAGAAATATGGGGCATCTAATCCTATCAAGTGGGACACTTGTCCCTGACCCAATAGGCTAAACTGGTCCATGTGAAACTAAATCGAAGTTTATTTTGTTACTATTGGGATGCTCTAACAGTAATATTCTTTTTAACATTGGATGGAATCCACACATATAAATAGGTGGCCCTCTTCTAGAGTGAAACAGATGAGCTCTAGTTAATCAAGCTTCGGATGATAAAAGCCACATCAGGCCCATGCCAAGATGGGTCATTCTGGGTTCTTTAATCATGATAAAAGAGTGAGCCAAGTGTCTTGCCCTTCATCAGTTCACATATGTGGTGTACAGGGATTTTCAGATCTGGGACTAACATTCTTTTCTTTCTTTTTCTTTGACACTACTCTTCTAGTTCTTTTGAGACCTTTGCCTTCACTTAAACGTTCATAGTGAAATGATGTGCATTGTTATTAAATCATTTCTTTGCTCTATTCTAATCAACACTTCTTTCTTTGAAAGAAAATTCTTGTTTTGATAAGATGGGGTCGATGGACTATGGTTTTCCAAGCATCAACTACATTCTTCTCAATTACAAGCCTTAGATAGCCTAGAACCTTAAACCACATCTTAGGCATTACATACCTATAAAATACAACTATTCCATCATCCATTGAAATGCTTCAACAAGTTCATAAAACCTAAACATAGAAATGCTTCCAAACCTAGGCAAACCCTTCTTCCCAAAGGTACCTGATGTTGTCCGATCCAAGGTGTTCTGAACCGATGACACAATTAGATAATCTTGCCAACTAGACGAAGCCAAGGTGGAAGGATGAAGCCGTGCATTGAGATTTGCAACCAGGAAAAAGGTCAGAGGTCCAAAGAGTTATTCCCCGGGTAGGTGCTCTGACACTCAAGTCAGTTCGGTAGAGAAAGAGGTGGTCAAACCGAGCATGTTGAAATAATGCTGGTTTGAGCCAAAGAGATAATGCAGAAAGATATTCAAAGAGTATTCAGCTAAAAGTCCCAAGTCCCTTACCTTGAGTAGGGCATACCTATTTTATAGTTGGGTGTCCATGTCCTAGATGGATAGGGCTTTCGGGGTTGTTGGGATGTGGTCATCCGCCGAGGTCTTTGGGAGGTTTCCTCTTCCCTGGCGGAGTCCACTTCCTTGTCTGTGCAGGACAATCCTTCTTAGTCGTGTTCTTCCATTACACATGGTGTTGACATGGCTAAAGAGAGAGGACGACCACAGAGGTTGCCATGTGGCATCCTTAGCCAGGTCAATTATCACCCGAACACCACTCACCCAATTCTAAAGTCAAGGAGTGTAGTGCTCGATTGCAACTAGATGTGGAAGAGCTTTGTGGTCCTTGGCTGAGGAACTTTAATTTCTTCGAGTTGACTGGCCCAGAATTGGACCAGTTTGCTGGGCGAACTAGCCAGTTCAATGCTAGTGTCGTTTTCGAGGTGGGTCGACAGATGTGTCATTTCATCTTCCCAAGGTCATGCACTTGCGAAGGGTGGCGACGAATCAGTGTCATTGATCCGGTTTGATCTAAACCGTTGGCCGCCTTTACAAAAGGGGGTAGGCGATCCATTTCACTTTGTCATTTGACAAGAGCCTGTGACTTGGAGTTTGGCTGAAGTCCCTTACTTGATATCTCAGTTGTCCCAAACTTCTTTTTTTCTTATTCAGTAAGATGTCTTTCACTTTGTCTTCCTCGTCTTCCCTTTTCATTGGATACACTTCAAGGGGTGAGAGTGAGGGTAGTCCTTGGCGTGAGGCGGTCAAGGTTAGGGCGTCAAAGATCGGTGCCGATGAAGCAACCGAGGCCGATGTAGAGCCTGAAGAGCGGTTTGCCTTGGCTTCGTGTAGCCTTTCCCCAGCCAACTTGGCTTGGATCCGGGAAGTATATCGTATTCCCGAAGAGTACGAACTGAGGTGTCCTAGAATCGGGGAGAGGGCCACTTGGCCCGTCCTGGGGAGATTTGTGTATATGTCCACAGTTTGATAGTTGGCCTTAGGTTCCCTTTAGATCCCGGGGTAGTGGTCGTCATGAGGTGGTATCAGGTCCAACCTGTTCAGTTGATGCCTAACTTATTTTGGTACCTAGTCAGGCTGCTCTACTACTGCATTCTCAAGGGCATCGAGATCACCCCGCCAATGTTTAGATATTTTTCCACTTGAAGAAGCACAAGCAGGGGTACTACTACTTGTCAGCCAAACCGAACACCTAGGTGCTTATTGGGGCTCCCTCTTTC